ATAAGCTCCATCCTGTCACTTCATCTCCATATTGTTTCATACTATGGAACAATGCTCTTCTCCAGACTGAGGGACTGACCACCTCAAAACTTTAAGGGTGATGGACTGATTACATCGTCTTCAAGTATCTTCTGCTTCTATCAACTTTTCTGTACTTGACTGAAGAAGCCTACTGTGTAGGCGAAACGTTTCATAATAAAAATACCTAACTGTTGCATATGTGTCTTACCTAACATTCCCAATTAATGCTAAAGGTGATGGATTTGTGATCACTTGCGCCAAGCTCTTCAGTGATCTCCAGATTATTCACGAGTGTTTCCTTATTTGACAAGACTAGGTCTAGCAAATTATTACCCCTGGTAGGTTCAGTTACACTCTGTTTCAGAAAACAGTCCTGAACTGTTTCCATGAAGTCACTGGACTCTAGATTACCTGTCAAAGAATTCCAGTCAATTTGGCTAAAGTTAAAGTCCCCTACTATGACTACGTTACTGTGTACAGAAGCCCTAACAATTTCGTCCCAAAGAAGTCTCCCTCTATCGTGATCCAAGCCTGGAGGTCGGTATACCACACCTAGAATTAGTTTTTCTTGACCCTCCACGAACTCTACCCAAACAGACTCTGTTACTGCTCCATCTATTTTTATAACCTGTTTTTATGCAACAATTAATATTTTCTCGAACATACAAAGCAACTCCTCCCCCCTTCCCATTACATCTATCCACATGAATAACTTAAATCCCTGAATATTACACTCAACAGTCATATCCCGACTCTTTAAATCATACCACGTTTCAGTTAATGCAATGATATCAAAGTTCCCAGCACATGCTACCAAACGTAGTCATTAATTTTATTTCTTGCACTTCGACTGTTAGCATAAAATACCATCATATGTTTTTTCTTCTGCACATTTTTTCCTATTCATCTTTGTTTTACTTACAATTTCTGAAATTATCATTACCCAGAGTTACTCCATGACAGTTACTATTAAGATTCTTAATATCAGAGCATAAGTCAATATATCCATACTCATTATTAATCATTTCTAAACCCATACCTCATAACTAATCCTAGTTTAAGTCCTAACAACCCCCTCAACTGAGTTAGCAAGAAAACCCACACCTGCCCTGGATAAGTGAACCCATCCCTGGCATACATGTCATTTCGGCCATAGAAGTTGTCCCAGTTGTCAATGAATGGTACTGCATTATCCTTACAGTGTTTATCCAGCCAACAATTAATACCAATTGCTCTGGACAACCATTCATTACCAACACCTCTTCTTGGCAAAATGCCACATATAACAGGGCGCCCCCCCTTCTTCCTAATCATGTCTATAGCTGTCCTGAACTTTCTAACTAAATCCTCACTTCTACGCTTGCCTACATCATTGCCTCCAGCACTGAGGCAAATATAGGATTGATCCCATTACCGTTCATGATGTTGTCAAGCCGGCTAACAATGTCCTCCATCCCAGCCCCAGGAAAGCATACCCTTTGTCTCCTACTCCTGTCCTTCAAGCAGAATGCCCTATCCATGTATCTAACCTGGCTATCCCCAACAACAACAATATTCTTACCTTCCTTGTTGTCGTTCGTCGTGACGATCCCAGTAGTAGACTCACATTCGTCGGGTAGCACCGAGAATGCGTTGGAGGTTTCCACGGGAGTTTCCACAGCAGTCTCTTTCTTCTTCATCGTTTCTGGCTTTCCATTCGTCTTCTTGATCGTCAACTTCGTCGTCCCCTGTTGTCCAGTCACTGACCACGATCCCTTCTTGACCTGAGGGCTCGAAACAGGAGGACTACTACGAATCCTCTTGTTTTCCTCGGTCAATCGCCGTATCTCCATCTTCGCTGCCCTCAATTCTTCCTTAAGTTGCTGGTAAAGTTGCTCGATGGAGGGCATCTTGGTTCAGTCCACGGGAGCAAACAAGACACTTCTTCACAGAGTTAAGTACAGGTCAGCACTCAAAGTACAGGTCACCACTCAAGAGCACACAAACAGGTCTTCACAGAGCTATTTTTCTATAAGATTAACTCAGTTTGTGAATTTTTTCGACAAAATTTTTCGTTCGCGCTGAGAACGTTGATATCCTCCTTTTAAAGCTTATTGCTTAGGTAGCATTTATTCTGTTAGTAGGCTGGATTTGTGAAGGACCTGCCAAGTATGGGCCAACAGGCCTGCTGCAGTGTTCCTCCTTTCTTATGTTCTTTTGTTGATGAGTGGAACAATCTGCCTAGTGTGGTTAGTGAGGCTGAAACCTTGGGTAGTTTCAAATTTGTGTTGAATAATTACATGAGTGAGAGGGATTGGATGAGAGTTGGACCTGCACATGAGTAAATAGAATAATCAAAGCTTATTACTTGGGTAGCATTGAAAATTGAGTTGGGCAAATATTCTGTTAGTAGGATGGATTGTGAAGGACCTGCCTAGTATGGGCCAACAGGCCTGCTGCAGTGTATTATTATTATTAGTACATATGTATTATAATAATAATTATTATTACTATTATTATTATTTTAGGGAAGTGAAGCACAGAGCCAATTCCCTTGATCAAGAGCCCCTCACCAAGGAGCCTCCCTTGAGGGGGAAGTTCGCATCCTGAAATTTCGTTCGTATCCAGAAGCAAAAAATCGATTGAGTGACTGTTCGTATCCTGAAAAATTTGCATGGTGGGGGCATTCATAAGCCGAGGTTCCACTGTATCTTGTAGTCTACCTCCCTCTTGCCGTAATTGTCATGAGCCCCACCCATCTTACTATCACCATTGCCAAGTTTACTTAAATGAGTGAAAAATCCATTGTCTCCAAGAGGCAGAAGGCGTAGATGAGAGACTGCCATAGCAGGCTCACTCCTTAGGCCTCCGAGGCAATCTACCATTTTTCCTCAAGAACTCTTTAACTTAAGAGACATTTCCATGTTCGGGTTAATAATATGCTTTCCCCGGACTTCGTCCAAGCTGAAGGTATCCTCCAGGGATGTGTTCTGAGCACAACACTTTTTCTCCTTGCTATAAATGATCTGGTATCTATTCTTCCATCTAATATTTGGTCATCACTTTATGTTGATGACTTTGCTATAGCTTGTGCAGGCACTCACTGTCACCTCATTGCAATTTCTCTCCAGCATGTGGTCAACCGTGTTTCCAATTGGGTCACTACTCATGGGTTTAAATTTTCTAGTACTAAAACTCGCCAAATTATTTTCACTAGACGTTCTGTCGTCTCTGATAATCCACTGTACCTATATGGCTCATGTATCCCAGAATGTGATACAGTCAGGTTTCTTGGCCTTCTTTTTGACCGTCAGTTATCCTGGAAACCTCACATTACCTCTCTGAAGGCAACTTCTTATAGCTGGCAGAACCTCCTTAAAACCCTCACTCATCTTTCATGGGGGGCTGATTGTAGAACTCTCCTTCGACTACATTCAGCCCTCATTTTATCGAAACTCGATTATGGTAACCAGATAAATTCAGCAGCCTCTCTTGCAACTCTTTCTAGCCTTAATCCCCTCCATCACCAGGGTTTATGTTTATGCCTCGGTGCCTTTCTCTCTTCACTGGTTGAAAGCGTCTATGCAGAGGCGAATATTCCATCCCTGACCGATTGCCATGATGCTCATTGCCTTCGCTATTATGTTTGCTCTCATGACCTCTTCAATCCTTCCATATATAGGATAGTCACTGATGTCAGTAGACGTTCTTTATTTGTTTGTCGCCCCTATTTACTCTGTCCCTTTTCTCTTTGCCTACATTCACTCGTCTTTTCTTCAGTTACCACCTTTCTATGATCATGTAGTATCTAACTTTTCCCTACCCCCTTGGGAAGTTCTGATGGTTTGTGTCTGTTCTTTCCCACTGCCATGTGTGAAAGCCCAACTGCCTACGGTGGCTTTTTGTTCTCTTTGTCTTAACCACTTTCAATTTCATTCTCATGCCATCGCAGTGTACACTGATGGTTCCAAGTTTTCTGACGGCGTCGGATTCGCAGCAATGTTTCTGGACAGTGTTGTGCGAGGACATTTATCATTCTCAGCTAATATTTTTATGGCTGAATTGTATGCCATTCTCAGAGCACTTATCCGTATTGCATCTATGCCCGTGCCACCATTTGTGGTCATTTCAGACTCCCTTAGTGCTTTACAGGCTATAAGAAAATTTGATACACCTCATCCCCTGGTTCTTCGTATACAACTTTGGTTAAGCCTCATCTCTAGCAAGCACAAAGACATTTTTTTTGTTGGGTCCCCAGTCATGTTGACATACAGGGCAATGAACAGGCAGACACTGCAGCATGGTCAGCAGTACATGACCTCCCAGTTTCATATAGAGGTATTTCATTCACAGACTATTTAGCTGTAACTGCTACCCACCTTCGCGCCCATTGGCAAGAACGTTGGTCTGATCTGCTACATAATAAATTGCATTCTAGTAAACCAAATATAGGTTTCTGGCTGCCTTCTTGTCATCAATGTCAAGGTTGGGAGACTACTCTCTCCCGTCTTCGCATCAGCCACACTCGTCTTACTCATGGGTATCTCATGGAGAGGTGCTCCGTTCAACTCTGAGAATTGTCAGATTCCAGTTTCTGTTAGCTATATTCTGTTGGACTGCCCACTCTATCAACAAGCATGTAGAATTTACCTCTGACGTCATCACCGTTCTACTGCCCTTGCTTTACCCTCCCGTCTTGCTGATGGACCCTCCTTTAACCCAGCCTGTTTTGTTGACTTTTTGACAGCAACTGATTTACTGCACAAACTCTGATGATGATGCCTCTAGCAGTACTCGCAGCCCTTTCTCTTTCTCCCTCATGCTACACTCTACCCCTGCACTCTCCACTGCCCTGCTGCACTCCATGACCTAATAATAATCCCTCTCCCTCTGGCTACCCAATACCCTTGAACCCTTCCCTGCCCTGCTGCACTGTATGACCCTTGTAGGTTTAGCATTTCTTATTTTATTATAATAATAATAATAATCTACTTTAGTTATAATTGTTGATGCTGTACCTCACATTGATCACTGGTGGGAGGTAGCTAACAACTGCAACTTGACCCACTGCAAATGCAGTTCTTGTGTCTTTAGTAATGGTGGCCTTCATCTCGTATGTGGCACCATAAGACACAAAGTCACTCCCAAGCAGGATCAACTCGGGATCTGTGAAGGCCAGTAGTCCTGAGGGAATGGAAATATAGAGAGTCAGTGAGGAGAAAATTTACCAATCCGAATGTTGCAGGCAGAGCTGTGGCTTATCCAAAATAAATGCTTTGTACATATATTGGTCAACAAAAGAAATGCTTTAGAATAAGTAACAAGGCTTACAGATTATTTGCATTTATTTTGAGAGAGAGAGAGAGAGAGAGAGAGAGAGAGAGAGAGAGAGAGAGAGAGAGAGAGAGAGAGAGAGAGATAGAAGAGAGAGAGAGAGAGAGAGAGATAGAGAGAGAGATAGAGAGATAGAGAGAGAGATAGAGAGAGAGATAGAGAGATAGAGAGAGAGAGATAAAAGATAGAGAGAGAGAGAGAGAGAGAGAGAGAGAGACAGACAGACAGACAGACAGACAGACAGACAGACAGACAGATAGAGATGAGATAGAGATAGAGATAGAGATAGAGAGAGAGAGAGAGAGAGAGAGAGAGAGAGAGAGAGAGACAGACAGACAGACAGACAGACAGACAGACAGACAGACAGACAGACAGACAGATAGAGATAGAGAGAGAGAGAGAGAGAGAGAGAGAGAGAGAGAGAGAGAGAGAGAGAGAGAGAGAGAGAGACAGAGAGAGAGAGAGAGAGAGAGAGAGACTGGCCAGCCCTCTGCTCAGAGATCATTGCTTCCAAGTGGAATGCTCTTTTCTAAGGTGACAATGATAACCAAAGTGAATACCTCATAATCTCCAACATACATCTCTCACCAGCAGTATACCTGGAGAGGGTTTTGGGGCTCAATGCCCCTGCGGCCCAGTCTGTGACCTGGCCTCATGGTGGATCAGGGCCTGATCAACCAGGCTGTTACTGTTGGCTGCACACAACCCGGCATACAAACCACAGCCCAGCTGGTCAGGTACTGACTTTAGGTGCCTGTCAAGTGCCTTCTTGAAGACAGCCAGGGGCCTACTGGTAATCCCCCTTAAGTATGCTGGGAGGCAGTTGAACAATCTTGGGCCCATGACACTTACTGTGATGTCTCTTATCGTGCTAGTGGTGCCCCTGCTTTTCATTGGGAGAATGTTGCGTCATCTGCCGAGTCTTTTGCTTTCATAGGGAGTGATTTTTGTGTGCAAATTTGATACTAATTCCTCTTAAGATTTTCAAAGTGTATGTAATCACGTATCTCTCCCGCCTGCATTCTAGGGAGTACAGGTTGAGGAACTTCAAGCATTCCCAATAATTGAGATGCTTTATCGCAGTTACGCGTGCCATGAAGGTTCTCTGTACATTTTCTAGATCAGCAATTTCACTTACCTAGAAAGGTGCTGTTAGTATGCAGCAATATTCCAGCCTAGATAGAATAAGCGACCTGAAGAGTGTCATCATGGGCTTGGCATCCCTAGTTTTGAAGGATCTCATTATCCATCCTGTCATTTTTCTAGCAGATGCGATTGATACAATGTCGTGGTCTTTGAAGGTGAGATCCTCTGACATTATCACTCCCAGGCCTTTTACATTAGTTTTCGCTCTGTTGTAATTGAAATTTCTCATCATTGAATTTCATATTATTTTCTGAGGCCCATTTAAAGATTTGGTTGATGTCCACCTGAAATCTTGCAGTGTCTTCAATGGAGGACACTGTCATGCAAATTCGAGTGTCACCTGTGAAGGAAGACATGGTGCTGTGCTTACATCCCTGTCTATGTCAGATATGAGGATGAGGAACGGGATGGGATTGAGTACTGTGCCCTGTGGAATAGAGCTTTTCACAGTAGCTACATCTGCATTTTGTTTGTCTTCTAGAGCATCCAAGACCTTGTCATTGTAGTCAAGTAGTTGGGACAGGCTGGAGAGACCTGCTCTAAACCCATGTTGCCCTGGGTTGTGTAACTGATGGGTATCTAGATGGGTGGCAATCTTGCCTCTTAGAACCCTTTCAAAGATTTTTATGAAATGGGATGTTAGTGTTATTAGTCTGTAGCTCTCTGCTATTGCTTTACTGCCCCCTTTGTGGAGTAGAGTTATGTCTGTTGTTGTTAGCAGCTGAGGGATGACCCCTGTATCCATGCTCCCTCTCCATAGGATGTTAAAAGCACATGATGGGGGTTTCTTGCAGTTCTTGATGAAAACAGAGTTCCATGAGTCTGGGCCTGGGGCAGAGTGCATGGGCATGTCATTTATTACCTTTTCAGTCATTTGGCATCAGGATAATATCGGATAGGTTTGAGTCTACCAAATTCTGTGTTACACTCTTAAAAAATTCATTTAGATCTTCAACTCTCAGTTTGGTTAGCAGGTCACTAAAAACTGAGTCATATTGGGACTTGAGCAGCTCACTCACTTCATTGCTGTCATTCTGTGTAGGACCCATCTCATCTAAGTAGGGGCCCAATACTGGATGTTGTTCTTGACTTTGATTGGCATAAGAAAAGATATATTTTGGGTTTCTTTCAATTTCATTGATGTCTTTTAGTTCTTCCCACATTTCTTACTCCTGTAAGATTCCTGTAGCTTTAGTTCGATGTTTTTTATTTCTCTGATGAGTGCCTCCCTTCGTACTACATATATATTAGCCTCTTTTAGCTGCTCTGTTATTCTTTGCCTTCGCCTGTATAGGGAGTGCCATTCTCTTTCTAGTTTACATCTTTTCTCTCTTTCCTCAAAGGAATATGCCTTGAGCATACCTTGAGTGCTACAGAGTTAATTTGTTCTAGAAGTAAATTTGGATCCATGTCGCTTAGGCTATCTTCCCATTTTATATCATTTAGGACCTGGTTGACTTGGTCCCACCTTATGTTTTTATTATTTAAGTTGAATTTGGTGAAGGCTCCCTCGTGATTTATCACATTTTGTTGGTCTGGGGCCCCGTGCATACATGTCTGAAGCCTTCACATCAGCCTTGGTTCAGCTTTCGTTGCTGAGAGGCCACTGCTGCTAAATACAAGGTTTGGAGAAGGTATAAGAGGTATAACTGGAATCTGCATATATAAGCCTCTTGGCAAATGGAAGAAGTCCAAAATAATTATAAAAATTATAATAAAAATCATAATAAAAATCTTTTATTTATACAAATACATGTACAAGGTATACAGGCCCAGCTGACATCAATGACATACTACTATATAGAAAGCCCCTTGCTATGTGGAGCATTTCAGGCAAATTAGGTCAATTTTGTCCCAGGATGTGACCCCACACCAGTCAACTAACACCCAGGTACCCATCTCTACATGGGAAGCTGTCACAAAAAGAAAACTGGCATCAGGTAGAGTGGGTTCCAAAACCTGGTAGTCCTTGGTCAAGGACCAACAAAGTTATTTACCTGATGAAATTATTCCACCTCTAAATCAGCAGGATGGGACCATATCTACTAGCAGTCAGGAGAAAGCTGAACACTGCTGCCAAGATGCAACTTCCTGATCCAGCAAGAGAACCTCTTTTGCTGGTCACAAGAACTACATCAAAGTTGTCAGAAGCGACAATAAGGAAGGATGAAGTTTATCTTCCCTAAATCCCTGGACCAAGAAAAGGGTGTGGGCCCAGAGAAGGTGAGTCCAAGATTGCTGAGTAGATGTGCCGACCAGCTAGCATCACCTTTAACTCACATTTATCAGCACTGCCTAGCAGTGTAAATGGCCTTCTCTTTGGAAAAAGGCAAATGAAATCCCTGTTCACAAAAAGAAGAGAGTAGAGTGGAAATTAACACAGACCAGTGTCACTCCTGTCAATAACTGGCAAGACTCTTGAGACAATCATCTGTTAAACCTCTCCATTTTGTGGCAGCAGTCACTGGATGAATCCAAGATTAGTTGTATAGTAGCAGTGAACATAGTCAACACTTTCATTAGAGTATGGCACCAGAGACTCTTGGTAAAACTGCAAGTACTAGGAGTCACTGGATATGCACTATGCCTCCTTAGTGATTGCCTTTAAGGTAGATCCCTAAGAGTAGTTCTCAATGGGAAAATTTCAACAAGATACTCTACTGGTGCTACTGTTCCACATTGAAGTGTACTTGGGCCATTGTTATGGAATGTCTACTTCAATGACCTTAAACTTATCCTAGAATTCCATGCATATGCTGATGACTGTATAAACTCTGAAATTTACTTTTCCAAGGGAGAATATGCCAGCTGCTCTCAATTACATCAATCACCAGCTTACAGTTATGTCAGCCTGGGGAAAACGATGGCAGATTACATTTGCTTCTAAGAAAACACAAATGATGACAGTCTCTAGGCACCATGATGGAGCAGTGGTTAGAATGAATGGATGAGGTCTAGTCAAAACTGACTCTGTAGAACCATGTTTTAAATCTTGTAGACAAGGCACCCAGGAGGCTTTAAAAAGCATTAAAATGTTTCTCACACTGTCGCAGAGGGTTT